AAGAATTTTACAAAGTAGTGATAAATGACTTACCACTGAAATTGCTAATCCAAAAACAAAACGACATTGATCTGTCACTATTTCAGAACTTAAGTTAGCACTTAAAGAATTTGTACTATATTATTAGCATAGAACTATATTGAGTGATGTGATGCTAATTGAAAAAGCCAAACTGCTTGCTAGCGGATTAGAAATTCCAGAAGGAACATTGCAATTTTCTTCTGGATGGCTTCATAAATTTAAGGATCGAAATAGAATTCGACAGGAAAAACTTCATAAAGAATTTGAATCTACAGACCCCTGCTAAAAGTCTTCAGATGTCATCTTTTAGGAGTATTTCATACCAATTACATTATGTGACTATATAATACTGTGTTCATGTAATGTTCTGAATCTTGTTTACTTGAATAAACCAAATAAAGTCGTATTTGGTTTGTTTATTCTGATTTATAATCAAAATAAATTTTATTTTCTGAAAACAATGAAAATGTCCAAAGAATTAATAACAGAACAACGCGGTGATATAATTTTTTGCCATATACGTGACGATAGTTACCGAATTATTGCCGTGACTACCATTGTGAAAAGTCAACAGTTTTAGACACTTTAAAAAGAATGGATGACACTGGAACTGTTAATTTGAAGCCTCGTTCTAGTCGAACACTCTTAATTAAAAATTCGAAGTGAAGCTAGTTTAAGCAAATTATCACTAATGATAAAGAAAAAAATCGTCACTTATGCACTGCAGAAGTTCAACAACTCTGGCAAAAAAAGACCAGCCAAGATGTTTCAACTCGCACAATTGGTCAGAGTCTTCGTACAGCTGGGTTAAACAATTGTTTTGCATGACGAAAGCCTTTAATCACACCAGCAAATGTTAAGACATGTCTTGCATGGCGTTTGGAATACTAAAGTTGGATAAAAGACAATTGGTCGAAGGTCATGTAGAGTGATAAATCTACCTTTTCACAATTCCAACAAAGCCATTATAGTCGAGTATGATGTGAACCACATGAAAAATAGAACATTTCTTGTGTTTCTGTTACAGTGAAACATAGTCCTAGCTGAATATTTTAGGGGTGCTTTTCGAGACAAGGCTTAGGACCAATTGTTTCATTATCTGGAACAGTCACTGATGCTACACATATTATCATTCTTTGCAAGCGTGTTATGCTAACTATGAGACATGTATTTCCAAACCATGACGGTGTATTCCAAGAGGATAATACTTGCCCTCACAAAATGAAACTTGCAAAGAAGTTTCATGTGGAAAATGGTCTGCGCGTACTTCCATGCCTGCTCAAAGTTCAGATCTCAATCCTATTGAGAATCTATAGGCCGAAGTCAAGAAAAGCATCTGTAAAAGAAAAAATTTGCCTTCCAATCTTGCTCAACTCGATCGACATGTTATAAGGGCTTAAAAATAAATTCTGATACAAACTATCGAAAATTTGGTCGATAGTATGTTGCAGAGAATTAGGCTGTGATTGAAGCAAATGAAGACCCGTCCAAGTACTAATTATTTAGTATTATATGTGTAGCATATCGTACTTTAATAAATATATTTATAAATGTTTTTTAATAAAATTTAAAAATTTTAAGTTTTATATTGAGCCAAAAAGTGTCCAGAGACTTTTAGTGAAGGTCTGTCCTAATAATACTGCTATTATTGAAGCTTTACCATTACTGCGTGATAAATGTGCTAACTATTCTCTTGAAAAATATATAATATGAATGAGACTAGACTCTTTTATTGATTGGAACCAGATCGAAACCTAGCAACAAAATGGCTTTCTAAATGTAAAAAAAATAAAGAGCGTATTTCTATTGCATTGTGTGTAAATGCTGATGGATCACATAAATTAAAACCTTTGATTATTGGAAAATATGCAAAGCCAAGATGCTTTAAAATATTAATATTTTTAACCTTCTAATAATCTATCAAAATAATGCCAAAGCTTGGATGTTATTAACTCTTTTTCAAGAATGGCTTTAAGGATTTGATTTTTAGATGTCCAGAAAGTATAATAGTCAGCATGTTTTGTTACTTCTTGATAATTGTCCAAGTCATAAAATAAATGGACTAGTTTTTTTACATATTGATGTTTATTTCTTACCTCCAAATACAACATCAAAAATTTAGCTAATGGATGTTAAAATCATTATGTCATTTAAAAAAAATTAACATCATCATCAAATCTAATAGATGTTAGATCAGATTGAAGCTGGTAAATCTGCAAAAAACTTGAAAATGAGTATCTTACAAGGCATTTGATATTCCATTCAAGCTTGGAATGAAGTTAAGATAAAAATAATTTATAACTACTGGCATCATACCAAAATTTTTCCTGTTAATGAAAATATTGAAGAAAATATTAAAGATGACTTACTACTTGAAGAACTTTCTAATGCACTTAAAGTTCTTAATTTTCCTGATGGTATACAAGCAAAAGAGCTTTTAGCTTTCTCTGAAAAGAATATTACTTATGAAGTTCCTAAAGATAATAATATCATTGCGGAATTTGTAGATATATTTAAAAATAAGTCTAATGAAAATTTAGATGAAGATGATAATAGTATTGAAATAGAACTCATTAGTATAAGTATAGCATCAAAAAGTTTAGAGACTTTTCATGTATTTTTACTTTAACAAAAAGGTACTATTGAATATTTAAATCTGTCAATATTCTTGAAAGGTTTATTAGAGAAAAAAAAGCAGTTTAATGAAATAAACTACTTTAGAGCAATTTTTAAATATTAATAAATAGTTATAAAGAAAAAAAATTTTTTTGATTATTTATAAATTTTTATTTGTGACGAAATTTTCTAAAACTGGTTAATCTTATTTATTATTAATTGTAATTAGTAAATCCAGTATTTGATATAATAAAAACAAATAAATTTATTGTTAATATATTATAAAAATCTGTTAAAATACAGATTTTCTCTTAATGCACACCCTCTCTAAATGCATTCTTTTGCTCAATCCTAAGGGGGGTGCATTTAGAAAGGTCTGACTGTATAAAGATATCATTAATTATTTGTCTGATTGCAATTTTATTGTCTTTGATTTAACAGTGCCTCCAAACATCCTTACAGAATACAAGTTGGATAGGATAAAATTTTTGAAAAAAATGTCCAAGTTAGTGAGTAGAATCTGACTTAATAGATGCCAGCTTTTTTCTGTCTCCTATACCTGCATCTTTAGATCCTTGACCTTGTAGCGTAAGGAATACTATCAGTTTAGGATTCATTATCTGGTAATTAAAGTTTTTGATTTTTTCATTAAAGAATTAATGAAAAGGTTAACATTAGATAATGCTTTGGAAATTGCCAAAGAGCACAGTAGAATATGTGTTTTTACTGAGTATATTAATGTTAGTACTCTAATGCAATAGAAATGTACAAACAGTCATGAATGGACTGTAACTCTTAATAATATAAAAAATGTTAAGAGATGGTGCCTACATTGTGCAGTTAATAGACCTCTTACTATTAAAAATGCAAAGCAACTAGGTCAAAATAAAAATGGGCTATGTATCTCATATATCTCTACTGAATACATTAATATCAATACTCCAATGCAATGGCAGTGTACGAAAAGTCATGTTTAGACTACAACTTTACATAGTATAAAAAATGTTAAGAGATAGTATTCACATTGTGCAAATAATAAGCCTTGTACACTTGAAGATGCTAAGCAATTGGCATGTAATAGAAATGGGCTATGTATTTCTATTAAATACATTAATGTTAATACTCTAATGCAATAGCGTTGTTCTGAAGGATATGAGTGAAATGTATCATTTAATAATATAAAATATGATAAGAAATGGTACCCATATTGCACAGGTAATAGACCTCTTACTATTGAAAATGCAAAGTAATTAGCATGTAATAGAAATGGAATATGTCTTTCTAAATATTTTACTAATAGTCATTCAGCTTTATTATGGACATGTGCTAAAGAACATTTAATGACTGCATCATTTAACAGTGTTAAATATTCAAACTCATGATGTCTATTCTGCTTGAAATATAAAAGAGAAAAACTATGTTGAGAAATAGTATCAAAATATCTTGGATCACCATTTAAAATACGCTGACCTGATTTCTTAAAATCACCCAAATATTATCAAGGATTAGAGCTTGATATTCCGTATTATGATTATGGTTTTGCCATTGAAGTCCAAGGGATGCAACACGAAAAATTTAATAATTTCTTTCATAGAGGTAATTCTAATAACTTTATCAAACAGCAGGAACGAGATCAACTCAAGAAAGAATTATGTGAAGAGAATCAGATTGCTTTAAGGTATATTTGGTATTACGAAGACCCATATATAGTTATTCCTAAACATCTTCGAGAACTGGATCTTATTGAGTAAACTCAAAACTTTAAATGAAATTTCACTTATTTTTTTCCAATATGTAGATGATGTGAAAAATGCACTGATCAGTGATGAAATCACAATTTGGATACTTCAAATTGCAGGAGATAGAATTATGATAAAAATACAGGATAAAAAATGCAATCCGAAAAATCTGATAAAAAATAAACTTCTTCTTGTAAACTTGATAGCATTTTATTTTTCCAATGCATCTCACGAAAAAATAATTCTTGATACTGAAAAGCTATTTTTTTTATTTGTATAAAGCTAAGAATATGTGAAAACATATCTGATATACAGTAGCATACAAGCGACATTAAATATAGAATTGATAAATAGAAAAATAACAAACCTCATATGTGATCATAATAACCTATAATTGTCTGAATTTGCGTAATAGTGAACTTCAAAATGGAACTTGAACTAAATGACCTAATCTACTTAATTCTGTTCGTTCCTATCTTTTTGAATAGGTTATAAATTCTTAAAGCCCTTGTGTCTTATTACGTACAATATTTCTATTAAAGCTAAGAAGATGTTTCATAATGCCATTATACACTACTTTCCTAGCTGTTTTTTCACTACATCCCTGAAAATTCATAGTAACATCTACCCTCTCCATTAGTGATATCTGATAAAATTACCTTTCTTAATATGACGAAATTGACGAAACTGAAATAACGAAACTAGTTTTTTATTAATGATGAAATTATATTTAACTTGATCTAAATTCCTTGAATTAAAATACATTAAAAATATAATAATGTTATATTTATTCATATAAAAATATTAAAGAGACGAAACTTTTAATGAAATTACAATTTTTCAAAAAAGAGTTTAGTCAGGTATCACTACTCTCCATATATCCTTTACCATAATGATACCAGCACGAAATTTCCTCTTGATTAACATTAATCATCTGCGTTTCTACACGACATGCTTTTTAAAACAACATAGTTAATGGTATTAAATCCTGAAATAATTCCTCCCCAGCATCATTATTACCGTTAGTTTCAACTAATTCCTCATTGATAGGAGTGAACAATCATCTATCAACTTCTGCAACATATTCTGTTCACGTGAAGACAGCGGACTTGACGAACATCTTCTTGATTGAGTTTGGGGATTAGAAGAATTAGAATTTGATTGATCTAGCATAATAATCTGATTCATCTCCGCTTGTTCAGCTGGACCTATCAATTCTTCATCTCATTATTCATGGTTGTGATCATTATCATAGTGATCACCTGCTGAAATTGTTGACTCATTACGATGGTGAATTTTTTTAATTGTTTACGCTACGCTTGGATGATAACTACAGAGGGTTATCAAAAGTTTCTGAACGAATTTTATGCAATATAAAATGCTTAATTTTTAAAACTCAACCAAAAAAACTTTATTAAAACTTTATTTTAAGCTTATCAAAACCTACATTTTGTATTATTAAACTAGTATTTAATTGGGCCACCTTCCGCCGCAATCACCGCTTGAATTCGTGCTGGCATACTATCGACTAAATTTTCGATCAGACATTTCGGAATTGCTTTCCATGCATTTTTAACATCCCTTTCAAGTTCAGCAAGGTTGGTTGGCTTTTTCTTTTTATTTCTAATTTTCTTTTTTACTTCAGCCCATAAATTTTCAATTGGGTTAAGGTCTGGGCTTTGAGTGGACCAAGAAAGAATATGCAGATTTTTTTCTGCACAAAATGATGATGCAACCTTTGTTTTGTTGGGTCCAGCATTATCTTCTTAAAACAAACCATTGTTTCTTGGAAATATGCACTTAATTGTAGGTAAAGCATATTTTCGCAGTATTTCAACGTGAGTAGCTCCAGTTACTGATCCATGAAGTGATACAATCAGTCACATCCCTTTTCGTAAAAAACAACCCCTAAAAATGCGGCTTGGGCTGTGGCTGAAACACAAGAGAGTGACCATTCATCTTCTGGTTCTCTCCATACTCTGCTAGTATGACTTTGCTGAAATTGAGTAAAGGTCGATTCATCACTCTATAATACTTTTTCCCAATCATTTTTTGTCCAACTTTCATGTTCTAAATACCATGCAAGTCGTGCCTCTTTATTTGCTGATAAAATGAGAGGTTTTCATCATGCAACACGTCCAGGTGAATGAAGGGTGCGATGAATAGTAATTTCTGAAAAATTCTGGCTTGTTTTTTTTCCATAGTTCTTTTATTCCAGTAGCATATAATTGACGATTTTGTGCTTTTTCATTTGTTACCAAACGTTTAAGCCAATTGCGATTCATGATGTCGATCAGGTGCAGTCATCCGGGACGAGGCTTAGAATCAATAGATCCAGTTTCGGCATGCCTTTTTAATGTATCATAAACTGTTGTTTTGCCACATCCAACAGTTTCTGCAATCTGATTATACGAATTGCCATTTTTACGAAGATAAAATATGGTATCTCATTATTCTGCAGTCAATTCGTTATTTTTTCCCATTGTTGCAGTTGTAACCACAATTTGTAAAAAAAAAATAAAGTGAGAAAGAAAAAATGAAGTTAGAAATGTTTTTTAAGACAAATAAACAAAAACAACCCATATTTGTATAATAAACATTGCCTTTTTTGTATAGTAATCGCATTCCAAAAGTTGCGTTTGGAAACTTTTAATAACCCTCTGTACTATCGTGAACACGTCGATGACGAGGACGAGGACCAAGGCCTGAGCCAAAACCTTCATGATTATGATCATGGTTATGTTCATCACATTCGTGATGATTATTTGTATTTTCATGGTGATTGTTGTCAACGGGAATGACAGGATGAGCTTTTTGTCCATCATCATTGAGACGATCTTCTTGAAGGAGGTTCGCAATTTCAGGAGCAGGAATGTCATCACTATCATTATAGTGATTATTGTTATTGTGATCAAAGCTATATTTATCAAGGCTATTTCCGTGATCACTATCATTAATCCAACTTTTGATGCTCTTCTGGGATTCGTTCGGGTGTTTCATAGTAAATGATTTTATACGTGAATCTTTTTAGCTGGGTCTACACAGAATTTTATAAAACAGATTTGCTTAATGGATTGTATATACAACTACTGTATTATTTACTGCCCACTTACCCTTCTATAATCCTTAATTACACTATCCCAGTATGGCTTCAACCATTTGCAAGAACGTTCAAATTCTACCTGTTGTGAGAGAAGAAATGTTAGCAGTGCATCAACTTTTTTTATTTAGTGATAAAGAAAGGTACATAGCTGATTCCTCCTCTGGAACTAACAGTCTTTTACCAACAATAAAGTTGGGACGCCTGAACTGAAGATTTGGAGTGGGTACCAAGCAAACAAGTCCAGTAATTCTCCTGAGTCAGGCCACGTCCAACTAGGAGTTACCTTCTTTTTGCAAATAAAAAAACACACCTTTTCCTTCAATTTCACAAAGCTTTCTTCCCAGTTTTCCTGAGTTAAGATCTCTTTTGCTTTACACAGAAAGTGACAGGACCAAAGGTTATCGAGTTCCTCAGTATCAAGATTTGAAGACAAAGAGGTAATTATGGCGTTGCAGTTTAGCTTCAGAAATCCTCTATACGACCTTTTCACTTGATATCTTAAGTACGTGACAAGAGCTAAGAAATTGAAAGATTAGTTGAAACTGAATAATGTTTACCAAAGAAATTATAAAACTTATCATCATAACCGGGATAATCAGAACTAGAACTCATTGTTAGTAATCTATATAAAAATTTTCGAGGATAGAAGTTAGACGCGTATAGGAATTTCAAAAATTAAATACAAGGCACGTAAATTTCAAAGTCAAACAAGTCGCACAATATACTATTCAATTTCTGAATAGATTAATAAAAACTTCTTTTTAAAAAATACTCTCTCTCCCTCTCCCCAAAAATTCTAAAAAATAATAAAAAATAAAAATCAAATATTAACCACTCAACCATATGCCTCCCAAGGCAAGAAAACTGTCCACTGTACGTGGCCGTTCTAAGTCGCCTGTTATACCGTTTAACCAACGCGACCGTTCAAAGTCGCCTGTTATGAATAGACCTTCGACCAAAAAAGCAAAAAAGGATACCATGAAAGAAGAAACCACACATCAACGACAACTTCTTGCACAACAACAATTATCTCAACAAGAATCATCGACATCAAATAATGTAACTCCACCTGTACTTATGAACACTGAATCTATTTCTTCAGTTGACAACTCTTTAAAAGAAAAAGGAAAGAACCCAGAAACTATTCTAGATGAGGACCAAGCCTTCGACGCTTCAGAAAACATGCTTAATACTTCAAAAGACAACAAAAATATATTGACCTTCGAACGTAACAACGATACTTCGACGCTTTACGCTTACTGCGCTGCTGAAAATTTTTTTCCTTCTAAATCCAACAAAAAAAAATTAACGAAGCTTGTGCTCTCTTCAACGGACCGCAGTTCCTGGCATTCATTGGTGCTTCGATAAAAATTTCCCCTGACGACAATACAAAGAAAATCATCAGAGTTGGATTTACATCTTGTGTTGAATACGAAAAAGCTATTGCTGTGCAGATTCCTATTTTGGATAATGCCACCTTTTTAGATCAAGGTGACAGAGATCCCGATCTCGACTACTGAGGTGGTACTCAAATCCTCTCTTTCCTTTTTTGGCAAGATTACTCAATGTTCAATGATCACCAAAAACTTGTGGCAATAAGCCACAGTTACGTATGACGAAATAACTGATATGAAACAATTCCAACACTGTCATAGTTATTTCATCTTAAAAGATATGGTTCGACTCAGTTTCATGTCACTTCCCAACGAAGCTGTAAGAGAAAAATCAAAATACTCTCTTAAACTTACCAACTCCCAGTCAATACCAATGGAAGACACTTAATTCCCATCGGAAAGGCTACCAATGCATTATCATGGATTATTTCGAAATCTAAAGCCACATATCGTAATCTTCAGTATGCTGTACTTTATTTTCGCAACCAGTCTGATTTAGATGCAGCAAAAAATGGTGATAGCCTAATTCTCGACAAAAAAAGACTTATTTGGACTGATCCTGGTCAAAAACTCTGTTATATCTGTTCGATACCAGAACATCAATCCCAAAATGTAAACGCAATAGATCATCACCCTCAGATCATCAGACTCAAAATTTATATCAAAAATACCAACACGCACAATTTCGTAAATATACTGCGTCTCCTCCAAAACCCAAACCTTATACAAATAACAATACTCCAAAAAAACCCATCGTTAAAATTACTAATCATCAACAAAATCCCCGCAGTACTACGTTGTATACTAATCCACTACCAAAACCTAAAGAAACACCAATCTGGGTTAAAAACAAAAATAATAATAATAATTTACTCGACGAAAGTATACATGCGCAGACACAATGGGCTGAACAGACTGAAGAAATGTATAACTCTGATCATTTTGAACCACCCATGAGTTTCATGAAAGCCACTCGCCAGGGAAACTTGATGAAATCCTGTTACAAATGAAGGCGATGAATGACCATCTAGCTAACATCCATAACAACCTCACTTTCACTATATATAGAGTGGAACAGATCGAGAAATCTCTAAATTTTTACACTCTTACCTCACAGAAAGCCGCAGAACTTAATGAGGCTAAGAAAGCAAAACTCGAAGATGGTGAACAAATGAAAGAGAACAGTGAATATATAGCGGACGTCGATACATCTGAATCCACCCTTAACAGTCTTAATATATATACTAAATCGATACAGGAAGAAAATATCGCATTAAAAGCAAATTTGAAAGAAAATGTCGATAAATTAAATAATGCCCTCAA